TTCACTAACTGTCGGCTGTTGAGGCGCCGGAATATCGTTTTTGGTACTACATTAGTACTATCGTGGTATTCTTGCATCGCGTAGTCTGAAAGAGTGTGTGCAAGACAGTGGGTAAACAATCGAGTGCTTTTAATTTAATTACTGAACTGCGCGATTAAGACCTTGCTACCTCATGCAAAAATATACTCCATTTAATTTTTAATTTTACAAACAAAAGTTATACACGAAGTGATACATGTAAAATGTTGTCTTGATTACCTGTGAAAAAGGCCCCAAAAAAGTCTTATACACTTTTTGTGTCGGGTTCAAAATAAAGGCACCAGAGGTAAATATAGTCGGAAAGTCAGAAGTTTTATTAAAATTGGACGTTTTTGCCGCCCCTCCCAGCTTCGCTTCCAGCCTCAAGCCACGAGATCTCGCACAAAATTTAAGCAACTCAACGTAGTTGACGATCAATTTGATTGTGCATGTAGGAGTAGAAGAAAAATCATCGAAAGAAATGTGTGTTGAATATGCAATATGGATGTAGGTGACACACCTTCCTATATGGCGCACCGAGTTAGCGATATGTACACTTTGATAAACCAGTAAGTTGCATTAAGGTTTCGGGAAAAGCGCAAGGAAACGCTTACTCACTTAGGTAATCACTTTATAATCCATCCCTAGAAATCTTACTGAGTATTTTCCTCGGTATTTACTGAAAAATAGAATTATTAAGCAATCTGATTCTCAACCACATTTTCATTTGACAAGCTCATAAACGCACTGAAGAAACTAAAACAAACAAAAGCACTCAAAATGAAATATAAATGTATCGGTAGGTATTTGGGTAGGTATATCGGCGCAGTCATTTCGACAAGAAGGGCTACGAAGGGCGACCAATGAAAGTTATTGATGATTGTTACTCAAATTTTAAAAATCCTATTTCAATTAGAGAATTTATTGATTAAAGTCTGAAGAAAATCTATCGATCACTTTGTTTTTTGTCACTTAGTAACAATAAATGTTAAGTAAGCGACTTGGTGTGCCCAAAATGTCAATTTTACTACTTCCAAACCGAGTTCCAAACTGTATACAAAGGTGTCGTGCTGTATATGATATGCGTACGTACCAACAGCGTACATAAATATTTTATAAGAACAAACATACCTACAAAACCGATTAAGGTTTCTTGTAGAAAAAAATAGTAAATATAAATGTATCTTTGGAAACAGTGACGCTTTAGAAATTAGCGCTATTACCTATACATATCGCGAGACATATCGTTATTGCCGCAGTGGCACATACAGAGCAAGACATGTACTTTCTCTAATTGATTTTTGACGGTAAATTCTTTGAAATGTAATTTCAAGACATCGTCTTTAACATTTTTTGGAGAGGATCTCAGAACACCCTCTCCACCCTCTCCATCTCGGATTCCATGCTTGGTATCGATTTGATATCATTATTACATATATACCATCAATAGTTTCCAGCTGGGTTTCCAGGTTTGAGGTTCTAGCCTAAGCATCTAATCGAGCATCTAATCCACTACGTAGACGCTGTAGAGGCTGGCCGGCAAGTGAAAAATTAAAATTAACACTTACCTCCACTCCATTCCAAACAACAATTATTTAACTAAGGTTTCTTTTATTAAAATGGACTGTTTCAAAAACCATAAGAACGCAAATGAATGGGGTGCGGAAAAGGGGCAAAACGAGAACTCTCGGGGATATATGAGAAGATTCAGTAGTCTGAGTCCGCAGACTCGTCCGCAGATATTCGATGATGTCTGAGGACAAACGATTACACGGTTCAATCCAATAGATGACAGGATAAAATCCAATGCCAATGGACCACAATTGAAGAGCCGAAAGAAAATATTGAGGTATATAAAATACCATTTCAGCATGTACCTATTTTGTAGATTACGAGTTCGAAATGATCCAGAAATGGCGGTGACGAAATATGCATCGGACTCGGTAATAAGATAAAAATGGTTACAGACAAACCTTCCAGCATCAAACTGCCACAGATGAAGCTACCAAAATTTAGTGGTGGCTACGAGGGTAGCTATGAAAATTGGATGACCTTCCAGCACATCTCCAAAAAGGTTGATACAAGAGCAGAAAAGAGCCCAGTCGCAAGGATAGCAAAGTATGATCCAGACCAAGGACAGCAACAATGGCAAATCTAAACATCTAAAAACCAAGAAATAGAAGTAGTCAGCATCGCATCTCGAACAGAAAAGGAAACACAGTTGGAAGCATTTTGGAAACTGGATGAAATTCCAAGAATAGTGAAAATGTCCCAACAAGAAGTATAATGCGAAGAGCACTACCAGCTACCACCCAACCACTGTGACCTCGACTGTGACGAATCCTGATGCAATCCCAATCGGTCCCAATGTTCTTACAGAGTACTGATAGTTTTTCCCCGAGGTTTTCCCTATCGGGGCATCGGAATTGAGACGGCACAGGTTTCGAAAACCGTAAGCGATAACATAAGTCGGTGAAATAGAGGCAAAATTGCGTATTTTGGGCCGAACCTGAAGCGGCTTAGAAAGTGAAGTAATTCCGAGTATCTTCAGAGATAACCAGAAAAAAAACGAAATGCGCCAACCGAGGCGCCAACTTCTTTTTAATTTTTCTGTGTGAGTTTATTTGAAGAGATTTTTGAAAACAAATGTTACTTTCCCCTACAAGCTGACATAATTTCTTTTTTAAAGGCGGTGCTGCACTTTGTATTTTGAAAAACCTCGTTTGTTTTATTTTCTTTCTTTTTTACATGTACACTATATATAACACATATTACAGAAGCGATAAGGGTTGGAACTACTGCTTTCCAATCCGTTTTGTACTAGCTACCAATACAGGATATGTATATACTTTTATACAGTTATGTACAAATAAAGACTATTATTATTATTATTATTCTGAAAAATTTACGACTAAAATATAAATAACAAAACACGTAAATAATCTTGCTTTATTATCCATTTTAGGGTGGTAGTGTTTAATAACTAAGCAAGTGTGATATATGCGAGGATATGTCTTATATGCATTTTTTCAGAATGGCTTTTTCAAAATAAAAATTCAGGCCCGTATTTAAACTAAAGTTGATCATGGTCCCAAAAAAACGAAAAGTCGAACTTAAAAGTTGAAATATGGTTCTCAACTTATAGGGGAGAAAAAAGTGAAATGAGAAAGTGTCATTTGACTTTGACTCTATAAATATCTGGATCCAAAGGATATCTATCCAAAATCGAGGGGTTACTGAAGACGTTCAAGGATATCTAGTGGATATCCATGGATTTACACATTAAATAATAGTTTGGTGTACAGCTTTTACCGGGACTTTTACTAAGACAAGAACACCCCCCGTACTTTCCTTACCAACAATGGAATTTCTTTAGGGGCGTTTCCTTTGTTTATAAAAATTTAACCAATAGAAAAAACTGGCAGGCATCCCCAAACAATTGCCTACGACATAACGTGTCGAGTTTCGATTTTAAGTTTACTATTGTGCGGTACCCTAGAGGTATTTCACTGCTGGTAGTACGTGTACAAATTTTACGCAGTACACACAGTAAGTACGTCGTTAACTTTTTATTATTTGCGACATTTTGATGAAGTAACTACGTACATGCGATATTAGATGACTCACTAGATACTTTCTGGCCCGAAGAACCAATTTTGAAATGAGTATAACTTTTGTTTGAAAAGTGATTTTAAAAAACTGTTCGGCAATTTTGTTCCTCTCATCAAGTATGTACACAACAAATTTCGCGGAATTGTCTCCATTTTCGTTGTCCGTCGAAGAATTGCAATGGATTTTTTTTCGAATTTTCAAAAACTGAGTTCAGATTCATGTTTTTCAAGTTCAGAAGTGCCCAGTCACCAAATTTCGTCAACATCAGAATTTTTTTCGCACCCCCCCCCCAATGAAAAATTTGCAAAATCGGATCCAAAACCTATTCAAAGATTAGTCTTTTTTACACAATGTGAAAATGTGAAATGTACGGTAATTCAAAATCAGAACTTATTTCATTCTCAAAAAATAATAAAATAACTTGATCACTGGATTGATTAGTGTTGCAGCCTCGGTTGCAACAAGGGAAATTGAAGGTAATATTCTGTGAAATATTTGGAATCTGTACTTAGCTCATTGGTAAAGTCGGCTGAAGTGCAAAGAATGTATCTCAAATTGGTTTGGCAATACCGACGAAACACTTCCGAAGGGAGTTAGATGTCACGTTACGGTACGTGAGAAATTAGTGAAAGGCACACGTGAGTAATCTAAAGAACAATAGTTTTGTTACACAATGAAAAGTATCCTCCGCACCTACCTCAACAATCTTAAGTTACGAAAGCAAGAAAGCAGGAAAGAGACTGATGGAAAAAACGTGTAGATCTAATCAATGGAATTTAGCAGTAAGAATGTGAATGATATCCTCATGGAAGGAATTGCATAAGGACATATTATTTTGTTTACCAATACCTATATTAAAATGAATGTGGAGGTTCAACTCTAAACAGCTAATAGCCCGCGTCGATTATCTCAAAGCGATTTCGAAAATATGCGAAATATTTTAATTAAATTTTAAACTTGCAGTAAGTTCAAGTCGTCCCACTCGTAAGAAAAATGCAGTGGAACAATGCGTTAAGTCAAGAAAACCACTACATAAATCGTTAACATTCCGCAAGAAAACTTAAGGCGAGGGATGGCGAAATATTAAATTTGTTTGATTGCATGTAAAAGGTAGGTACTAAACAAGTGGAGTAATAATGAAACCAATAATTTGAGTATAAATAACCGGATACTTCATAAATCACACCATTTTGGTGCTTGTTTATTTAATAAGTGTATTCGACATGAAAACGACCCCTCTAATCTTCTATCGTTCGCTCATTTCTGCATCCCATATCGTATTTCAAAACCAATTTATTTCATCGGTAGGTAGGCAAATAGCGCCCTGCATATTTTAGCAAAGCAATTATTTCGGTTTACTTTTTCAATATTCATTGTTGAATATGTTAAGAAGCTGCAAGTTAAAATATTACAATGCGGATGCTATAAATCTCCGTGCAACAACCTGTCGTAGGTACAACACAGCACATGGACGGTTCACTCACCGTGGTAGAGTAAGGTTGGCAGCTAAGACGTATACCATCCTGGTTTAGGTTCTCTCGCAGAAGTATCTTTAACTGCAGTCGAGGAATTTTGACCAATTCGGCCTTGCCTTCTTCATATTCGTCCACGTATTTATTACTGTCACAAACGGTGTCTCCCGCAACATTTATACAAGCACTTGCGGCACTACCTTTTTCAGAACAACGGCCTGAAGAAGTCGTATGGGACGATTGTGCACTCGCGTTATCACATAAACACTCATCGTGAATAGCTGTACTTTCTTCTAAAGTAAAATAAATGGAAGCGGCACCTTCTTCACGTAATGTTCTCACGGATTCCAATAACCTGCTTCGATGGACCGGATTTAATACACCGATAGCGTCCAGATCGGGATCCCCAACTTGCTTGCATATTTCTAAGTCGTCGTAACCATTGTCAATAAAACTTTCGGCATATTGGCCGAGGTGAAGTGAAAGCAACCATTCAGAAACGATGTTGTTACTCATAGCAGGACGTTAAACACTAAACAAATAACACCTCCTATATACAGCATCCATTCCAGACTGAATAACTGTAGGATATACCGTACTTTCTGCGCTATATCTACGCGCAATAACCGGGTGACTACGAAAGCTACCGACTGCAATACCTTTTTCATTGATATTACCTGCATACTGACAAGAAGCCAGCTGTAAAGATAACATTATACAGGTAGAAAATAAATCCCATAATTCGTTCGGCAACCTCATTCATAACTCTATTCAAATTTTGCGATCGACGAATGTGTTCGCTCTCATTTACTTTTCAATCAACTCTTTTCCTAAAAGATTCCTTAATCGAAAGGGATGTGGCCTACGCAAATAAGTTTGGTTCATTTCACAGGACCACGCCAATTAATATCGCAAAATCGTTAATTGATTCGCGTTTTTAATGAACTTTTTAACTGAGGTAATTACGTGTCGTGATTACTGACCATATAGTGTGAATTTTCGCATTATGAATGTGACAAAAAGCCGGAAATATAAATTGAAATCAAATTCGTCATTTGCAGATGAAAAATTCACCTCCGGCGAAATGGTTTAATATCGCTTTTATTAATGTATTTCCAATGAACTATTTTTCGTGAATGGCTAAGTCTATTAAACCGCAAAAAAATAAAATCAATTTTCAATTTGTAAAAACTACTACGGAAAATGTTTTCGAGTTCGCAAATCGGTATAGATAGGATAATTTACCAAAAATACATAGTTCAAACTGATATAAATTCTAATAGGCCATGTTTAATAATTTATGAAGTTTCGTATTTTCAATATTTGAAAGGGAAAATTATCTCTTATAAAATCTTGATTCCATAATCAATAAATGAGTACAAATAATAAAGAATGTCATTCCTTTGAAATTGACGATTAATGGGCCATACCTAGTATTAATGTAACTTCAATGAGAGTGTGTAATTAACAAATCCATTAAGCAATTTATCTGCATTTGAACAAAGGATTTATGAATAATATCCAAACAACAATGAAATGAAATGAATGAAATAATTACGGATTTTTGTCCGATTTAGAGTTTTGTTATTTTTTTGTTTTTCTAAATTGATACCTATCTAAAGTTGGGCAGCAAAGAAATCGTTTGTTCGAATCATGGACACTTGTTCATGGGACAATTGCGTCCTACAAAAAAATGGACTTTGATGAAAGCTTATCCAAAATTTGCATAAACAATTCATTGCAGTTGTCGTTTAAAATGGGTTTGAAAGATGAATACGCATACAAAGATACGTAGGTAATTTATTTCAAAGATAGCCATACAGAATAAGTATGTAAGTCTGTAAGTCAAATTTATTCGGAATTCAATGATGTTATACCACTCTTGTGGTTTAGTTTTTTTCGGGCTTAATGAAATTCAAGATGAAATTCCTACTAACGACCTGTACAAAGATTTTTTTAAATAAATAATTAGCTAGGACAATTAACGGTTTATATAATCTCATTGTTCACTCATTGGATTGCTATTAAATTCGTAAATTATTTTTTTTAATAAACAAAATAATAGTCTACGAATTTAGCAAAATTTAGCAATTAGCAATCCAATAAGTGAACTGATACAACAATTTAATAGACATACTTATGGAGAATAATTAACTGTATAATAATTAATAATGTTATGTATTAATTATGTTTTCCAATAAAGATATGAGCTGCACATGGTAGAATGATTCATTTTATCCAACTACGTCAAGCCTAACCAACATTTAATGGACTATAACATTTTCAGAGAGGTAGGTACTCGTCCTCATTGTAAATTACATTGCCCGATAGGAAACGTCGTATTTTTGTTTTAAACTGCTTCAGTGATCGGCTATTTTTTATTCATTGAATTCAGAATAAAGAGGGTTTTAAGAATATGATTTCGGAATACCAGGGCCGTACTTAAAAGAATGAAGCTGATGATGATTTCGCAAAAATGAAACGTCGGATTAAAAAACTAAACCTGCAAGAGCATTAAAAGTTGTTATGTCATTGGTTTTGCTTTAGTCCAAATATTAACGCCAGAAAAAAAAGTTCGTAAAATCGAAAAATCAGATTTCTTCAAAATGTTTTAGAAACCAAAACATTTTTTAGGTCAACTTTTCTTCCATTTGTATCTCTTACCTTTTCTAGAATGCTCTCCTCGGACACAGTGTAATTAAAGAATTAAATTAGGAACATATTCTAATTATTGAACATATGAAGGCGTACGTAAATTTCGTATCCTCCTAAGGTATTTTTAATTCTGCTGTCATTTTATCAGTGTTTATCAGACAAAAATTAATTAACATACGTGTTTTATCGCCGTTAAGAGATGGGGTGTTTCGAAGAATTGCGCATTTTTTTGTCGAGAAGTGGGGACGTTTGTTGCCTTCCGTCAGGGTTAGCGTATATCTACGATAATTGTGGTGATTTATTGGAAAATTCTTAAGGAATGTGTTTGTTGTATGGTGGAGGTGGTGTTTCCTTAAATACTGGAATTAACAAAAAACGAAAAAAGTGGTTTAGCTGTCATTTAACTCCGGTTGCCCTGTGATTTAAAATTTGGTACTAAACCCGGTTAGGAAGAAACTGTGGGGAACGAGTACCTGGAGAACCTGCGACAGAAATTGGGAACCATCAATGACAAAGTTTGCTATAAGATGCAGTGAGATAGCGATAGAATTAAAGTGCAGTATGATGTGAAGGCCCAAACTGGTAGTTACTGGTTCGGTTGTATCGTCCACAGATGAGGCGCGGGATCTCTCCAAAATTGCAAAGAGTTTGGAAAGGGCCGTATATCGCCACAGAGAATAAACGACAAATATATCGAACCGGGAACTACCGCGAGGAAACTCAGGGGTGCAGAACGAGTCCGAGGAACATCCGGAAGCGGACAAGTGATACTTTCGAGGAATTTATGGCACATTACTCTGGGACGCAACGAACACGATTTGGTGTTGTCCTTGAGGATGTCAAGATGTCCTAAGGTATTGTCGCAGAATTCGGTTTGGGCACTTAAGAGAAGTCTACCTTCAACGTCCCGAGGTTGGTAAAGTATGTTTCCTACAGGATCATCAGGGACGATTTCTTTATTATCTCGTAACAAAACACCGGTCTTGTGATAAGCCTAGTTACAAAGATACTGTAAGTACTGTAGTGTACTTAAAATAGTACTTCATGGTATTACAAAGCTGCAAATTGCGAATATTGGATGTGGCCTTGATCAGTTGGACTGGCTCATCGTGCGCAATATGCTGAAGGTGGTATTCCAATTTCCAGGCCATCGGAGTGGACATATTGCTCCGTTGCTTTAACCCCAGAGGAGCTCCGCAAACAATTCGTAACATGGCGGATTGCCTTTTCTTCAGGAATTGAAGATGCAAGAGAGGGTTCTCGTGCCGCCAACAAACTCGTGCTATAGGTAAAGAGTTGCCTGGAACTATGTCTCCGCTACAACCGTCGTCCGTGTTGCGAAACACACCGGTTTTAAGAGGGGGGCAGTGTAACGAATATTCCAGAAATCGCGATGCGCGTCGAGGTATCATGAAAGATTAGTCATCGGCGATAAGGAGCTGAAGCAGATGTAACGCAATCCTTCCGGGAAATATGACGTGTTTATTCTAGAACATTTCGAAGCGTTCTAAGAATATTCTAGTTTCCAGTTGGTTAAAATGAATTGAAACAGGGTATAATATTTTTAAATATTAAGAAAATCGATCTACCGATCCTAGGGTAACAGTTGTCGCTATCAAACCGCGAGATGAAGAAATCTTGCATAATAATTACAATTAGTACCTGAAATAGGGCATGTAGATTTTATTATTAGTATTAGAAACAACGTTTGCGATTTTCAACAACTGCAAGGTAATAGAAATAGAAATTCTAAATGAACGGTATTTATATTTTTAAATTATTATTTTAGATATTCATTTATATCTTCTAATAAATTATGCCAAGCCTGGTGTAACACGAAATTTCCTACAGCATTAAGGGGGATATAAACAGCTTTAAACTTTAGATGCTATAAAGCACCATCTTGCCGTAATGTTATAAAGTGATGACTTCGTTACTTGTGTACACAATGCAAAGAATTAAGTGAATCCATGATAGATGTCAAGAACTTCTATTTCAAATAAAGCGCCGTTTGCTTATTATTCGGACAAGATGCGGGTGGCAATAATATAATGGCTACCCAAAGGCGCCAAGTTTTATGTAAGTTATTTAATTTAGAAAGAATTTGCTGTTTATGAGGATGCTTAATTTCATATCCAAAAGTTAAATTTTGAAATTTCGGCATAGGCACATTCCGTTAAGCATACTGCAGGGTATACTGCGTTAGATTATCAGAAAAAGTCCATTTTAATTCGTTTTTTTGTAAACGCACGCGCCGCCCTTGACAATTTTTTCTGCCTTTAAATTCTACAGAATTCAATTTAGGCTTATGAAAAGACTGAACTGAGGACATATTTTTAATGGACTCATTATAATTACGTGGTGTGAATTAAAGCCCCCGAAGAGCTATAAGCTATATTACATGTCGCACTGAGTATTTTGTAGCATTCCTTGCTTTTTCATTTTATAAGTTTACAACAGGCCAATATTGCGATAGGTGAAGATCGGCCTTTGTAAACAACACCACGTTTAATTAACAGTATGCGCACAAACGTCGTTAATTTGCTATCTATAGTCAAAGAGACTGAGGTTTACTTATTTTTAACCGCAACATTTTTGGACAACAAACAGTCGTCATGGCAGAGAAATTGATCTTTTGTTGTATAGATAATTTTCACTTTTCACGCTTATTTAAATAAATCTTTCATTTGGGTAACAAATTAGCACAAAATTTTGTAGTACGATTCGTATGTATAATTGTACTATATACTATGTACTTTAACTACATGCAATTAGGGAAAAGTTGTAACCAATTAAAAATTGTATTCCTACAATTGAGTGATGAAACACGTTAAAGTCTATAAGTATTAGAAAAAAAAATTGGTGCTCTACCTTTTCGTTTTCTGGTTGCACGGAATCAAAACAATT